GGGGTGGACCGGGCGGCGTGCGTTTCTTGGCCCGGCGCCTGGGGATTGCCGAGGCTCTCCGGCTGCGCGGACCCCAGACCCCGCACCCGCTCCGGACCCGGCGTCGAGCCTGCTTTCCTCTGCACCTTTCGAAACCTCAGCTTTTCCTCCTCTCCTGTCTGTTCCCCACACACAAAATCTTGGGGCCCTGCAGCCGGAGTGCCTGGGTTCTCTCGGCACTCGAGCTGCGGTTGCGGTGGAGAGGAAGAGAAAACCTTGGGGGACACGCCCCCCAGCCCGAAGCTGGGAGATTGTGTAACCCCTCTCCTGTCTTCCTCGTCACTGTTGTTAATGCCGGGCGCCGGGGCTGGTAGTGTAGTCCTTCATCGGAGGGGATTTAAGAGTAATTAAACATTTCAGAGATAAGGATTCCACGTAGAAAATAGAGAAGCAGGTTAGTCATCTGGTTACTTGTTTTTCTCTGTCGTGTTGGTATTGGCAAGCCTTTTTAGCTTTGTTTTTTTGTCGAGTTTGTTCACACTGCAATTGAACGGGAAGGTGTCTCGCCCGTTTTATTTGGCGCCTACCCGTCTTGTTTTTACTGAGTGTAAATCATTAGTTCATAGGTCCGAGTTGGAGGATATTGTGCTTGGTCATTGTAATTGTTGGGGAATGAGGGAAAAAATTAGCATCGCATGTTTAAGAACTTTATTGAAAATACATAGGTGTACCTTTGGTGAAACTGGTGAACAATGGAGACAGGACAGAGGTGTGTTGGTAGTTGTCATTTTTATTGTTGTGGGTTGACGAGCTTGAGAAGTTAGAAAGGGAAATGACAGTAACAGTAAAAACAATTCCCACTGCCGTTTAACGATTTCCCCTATATAGAGGTCTTGGTTTAGTATAGATCTAAGGGGCTCAAGATGTCACTTGTTTTGTTTTCATGCCTAACTATCCTTACAGTGGAAATGAATGAGTCCTTGGTCGGAAGGTATCATATTAAGCCGTGTTACCGGATTGTGTTTATTTTATGGGCAGGTAACCTTTCGATCATTATTTACAAATGTTGTTGCGCTGTCAAATCATGATTAAATGATTTCCACAAAAATGAGTCGTAGGGAGAATTTTGGTCACTCCAGGTAACATTTTGCCCTTTAGACTCACTTTAGTGCCTCACTCCTGTATATCATTTTGTTCCGCAGAAGAATATTAAGAATATTAAATATCGAATTGGAACATTTTTTTCAAATAAATTGTATTTGACCTACTAATCTAAGTAGGTTTACACATTTTGTAATTTTTATACATTACTGGTGAAAAAGCATTATCTTTGGGTAAAAACACATAATAGCCAACATTTATGGAGTTACTGTGTGCTAGAGTTCTGAATACTGTACATGGTTTATCTAGTCTAGCAGAACTCAGTGAGATAAGAACCATTATTTTCACTTTAAAAATGAGGCTAACACATGAAGTGGTTATACAAGATTTTATTAATACTTCTCTCCATAGCAGTAACAATTCTTAGAAAAGCAAAATTTCCTACCACTTACTTGTACAGTTTAAATCCAGAGAATCCTGCCAAAATGAAGTAGTTGTAATAGCAACACAAACACTAGTATTATGGTTTTCTTTGTGCTAGAATATTCGTGCCCTGAAAAATGAATAGATATGTACCGTTTCATAATAAAGAAAAGTTCAGAAGTAAAATTTATTTTGATACTTTAGCTTTGGTAACTTAATACTAGAACTATTACTAGTCTCTCGTAATAGAAGAAAGCTGAATAATACTGTTTATTTTTCCTGTTTATACTATCAGATTAGGGATTTACTAGTCCACTTTTCTCATTGTATATTTAGCCGTATTTCTTTTGTCATATGGACAAAGGAATTCATTGTTTATGCAGAGTACCTTTGCAGAAGAGATTTGACAGATAGTCCTGGGAATGTTTATTATGTAAGAAAGTATAGAAAAACACTTCTTTGAGTAAAATTGTCATAGTTTCATGAAAAGAAATCCTATAAGAGAGACAGACCATCAAGAAGCAAGATGTGAACGTAACATTGGCCTGGAAAGTGGCAATCACCAAATTTGTTTTTTCCTCCCCATTTCCTCAGGGGAAGACCATTTATTTTCAGAGATGTAATTTTCAAAATAGTTTCAATTTTGGGTTATTGTAATTGAACAACGTGCCTTGTAGCCAGCTGAGAAAAGAAAGGAAGAGAGATTTTTGTAAAATTAGAAGAAAAAAGGCTTTAATTTTTTGAAATAGCCGTGTATCACTGAATAAGATTTTTAGCTCACAGGTCCTGAAGTCGATAGATGTGAAGCTATAAAAATATGTGTGTGACATGTGAATACCATATATCGGGGGAGGGGGATATTTCATTTCTTTTTTTTTTATGAATACTAAGCAGTAAAACTTCAATGAACTAGAATGCAATCAGAATTTCTACATGCTGTTTTTACTAATGAGCGAAAGCACAATTAAATAAGCATATACTGGCAAAATATGAAAAACAAAACCACTTTCTAGGTTGCTAGGACAGAGTTAGGTAGCCCTTAACTTTGTCCCTCTACAGTACTGTGCCTGATTGAGGCAGTTCAGGAGGATAACTGAGGCACTGGAAATCTCTCTCACTGGAAAGATTAATTTGCTCACCATTTCTGGCTAAAAATAGCACATTTTAGAAATACGTTTTGACAGTGATTTATATACAAGAAAACAAATTTTTTTCTTAGTAAACTAGAAAATTAGTTAACTAGGACACCCTTTTGTGACCGTGATTAATCGAATGTTCAGTGTAAAAAAGAAAAGCAATTGATGATAATGTTAATGTAACTATGCTGTATATATATTATACGTGTATTGATTGGCTTGTTGGTAAAGTCAAACATTCCGACAACCTGAAAGTATACATATAGATACGGATACAGATAGATACTCCATAGTGTTCCACTGTCTGTCGTATTGCATATTTCAGCTAAGATGTCTGAAAGAGCTTCTGTTGGTGAGTTAAGATAAAAGAACAAAATTTTTGCACCAGTTTGCATGTGGGGAATTGATACTTTCCAAATCCACCTGAAAAAAACAAAGAAGCTTGCTTAGTCTTGATTGAGGGAAGAGTTTTATTCTTTTTTCTTTTTAAGAATTATTTATTTAATTTTATTTATTCATCTATTTATTTTAATTTGACCAGAGAGAGAGACAGAGAGAGAGAGAGGAAGGGGAAGAGAGAAAGCAAGCTACCAGGTCCAGGACTTGAACTGTGGTCGGCCATGTGGGAACGTCCAGCGCCTTAACCACCATGCCACCTGCTGGTCCCAAGAGTTTTATTCTTAACTGTAAAATAAAAATAAGTCAGTTTTTTAAAGTTTCTTTTAGTAGACTGTCGAGGAAATCAGAGATGTGTGCCCAGGATCCTGAGAGAAGAATGGAGGCGAATGGAACCAGCAGTTAGCATAATGGCTATGTCGCTGGACTCCCATGTAGTTGACCGAGGTTCGCATCCCGGACCTGGTGGCTTAAAAGTCACACGGGGCACTTATGCGTGCGTGCCCAAGATCCCGAGAGGAGAATGGAGGAAAAGGGATTGTGGCGTGGCCATCCCCCCATGGGGTGATTTCATGCCTTCTGTTTCTCTGTCTCTCTCTGTCTTTCTGGCGAGCGTTCGTGACCTATAGCAAAAACCTCTCCAAAAAAAAAGAAGAATGGAGAAGAGATTGCAGGGTGACCCGGCATGGCCATCCTCCCCTGGGGGGTGATTTCTTGCTTTTTGTCTGTCTCTGGCTAGTGCACTTGCCCTGTAGCAAAAAAAAAAAAAAAAATTAAAAAAAGAGTAAATCAGAGATGTTCTTTTGATGCCTACATAAAGTACATATTTTATAAAGATTCTTATTAAAAATACAGGTCCATATAAATGTATTCACACATATTAACTGGGTCAGATTGTTAGTAAGACTAGTATGTGAACTTCATGGTGACATGAGGGAACAAGTTTATAATAATGAAGCATGGTTTTTGCTAACTGCCCTTAACTTCAGCCCTCAAGTTAGAGCTGTACTCTGATGTTCTTAAGTTCTTTTTTTGGAGAGACTTTTGCTATAGGGCATGTGTTCTCACCAGAAAGACAGAGAGAGACAGAGAGACAGAAAGCGAGAAATCACACCCCTCCCCCACCCCCAGAGGTGGGGGGCGTGGGTAGTGGTCACGTGCAATCCCTTCTCCATTCTCCTCTCAGGATCTTGGGCACGCAGGCACAGGTGCTGGTGTGAGGACTCGAACCGTGGTCCACTACATGGGAGTCCAGCAACATAGCCATTACACTAACTGCTGGTCCCCTCCTAAATTCTTTATTAGAGTATTCTTGCTGGTTTATTTCTTTTCAAATCATGTTACATTTTCAATTAGTACCTCCTATTAGGATTAAGGATTCAATAAATTTATTACTTGTTAACAATAATTTTAAAATTTTATGTTGAAATTAACATCTTTAAACTTTAAGGCACATCCCTTTATTCTAATGTTCCAGGTATGATGACTGGTTTTGTATTCATTCTTTCTTTCTCTGTCATGTTTTTTAGACTGATTATATCTCAGCCTTTACATCCAGGAAGAAGTGTCAGTTCCAAAGTGTGCAAGTCTTTGTCCCTTCTGCATTTTCGGCTTGCTCTCTGTCAGCTAAATCTGTATCCAGCCTTTCAGCTGTAACATACTTTCTCTTTTAATTACTTGATATGCTCCTTCGGTACCATCCAGCCTTCCTTTTCTCCTTTAACTTTCTAGTCCGTTATCTGACATTGGAAACAGCTTTTTCTTGTGCATCGAAAAGCTGTGTATGTCAGATGTATTTGCTAAAGTCCTAACCTTGAGTAAAGGGTGTGATTTATCTTGTGATTGTATCTTGTTTTGGTAAATGTGGGATGCAGCGCTGTTGTGTTTTTTTAAACCACTATGCGTTATAGTAAACTTCCGTGTGTGTCCCCACC